TATGTTTACTAGTGATGTTTCCGATCCTTACGAAATCTTAAAACGCTCGATTCTTAAACGAGGAGACCTAACCGATCGACAAAGGTTAGATCAACTCTTCAACAATATCGACCTGCAACACGGTTCTGCGACGGACATGTTGCAACGGATGAAAGAGGTAATAGACCCAAGAACTTTCGACGAAGGTCTATTCAAACAACTCTTCTTGTCAAAACTTCCTCAACAGGTGCAAGCAGTTCTGGTCTCGTTCCAGAACAACGCCCTAGACGAGCTAGCTGCATCTGCCGACCGCATTTTAGAAATTACGAAATCTACTACCGAGGTATTTTCAGTCAAAGAAAAACCTCAAGCGACTCAGAATGATATAAACGACTTATGTCACACACTCACGCGTTATCTTAGTCTTCGTACCGACCGTAAGAGATCGCGCACACCACGTAGAAGCATTTCTCGTAAGCGATCTGTCTCTAGACCACGAGAGACAGATAACCCCGACTGGTGCTGGTATCATAACCAGTATGGAAAGTTTTCCAGAAATTGCAGAAAACCCTGCAATTTTCCCAACACGAAACCGACTGATTCGAAAAACAATTCGGGAAACTTCCAAGCCGGCACGCGTTAACGGCAACCGTAGCCGGCGAACAAAGCCGTCTGTTATTCGTCACAGATGTGACAACGAGAGTTCGCTACCTCGTCAACACTGGCGCAGAAGTTAGCGTTCTCCCAGCAAATCCTAACGACTGACTTCACGAATCGATCCTAAACTTACAGGCGGCAAACGGAAAACCGATCGCTACGTATGGCAAAAGGTACGTTTACCTTAACGTGAGTTTACGCAAACCCATTCACTGGATTTTCGTTGTTGCAGATGTTTCTATGCCAATCATTGGTATGGATCTTCTACAACACCATAATCTGATCATCGACACGCGCAAACGGAGGCTAGTAGACGGAAACACTAATTTGTCCGTTTGCGTAACTTCTTTTACTGGTTGCAGAGTATCCCCAGTCATAGTTAAACATATGATAGACCCACTCTATCAACCACTACTCGATAAGTACCCTGGGATACAACAAACTCAACCGAAACTACCGTGTGTAACCAGCAATGTTACACATCACATCACGACTACAGGACCACCTGTATTCTCTAAAGCACGACGACTAGCTCCTGAAAAGCTAAGGTTAGCGAAAAACGAATTCGATCACATGATGGACTTAGGAATCATACGACCGTCAAGTAGCCCATATGCATCTCCGTTGCACATGGTCCCTAAAAAGGACAGCAACGATTGGCGTCCAACTGATGACTATCGGCGATTGAACGCGAAAACCATTCCCGATCGTTACCCGTTGCCTCACATTCACGATTTGACAGCTACCTTGAAAGGTACAACTGTCTTTTCGAAAATCGACTTGGTTAAAGCGCATAACCAAATCCCTATGGCTACTGACGACATACCGAAAACAGCTATCATAACTCCTTTCGGACTCTATGAATTTTTGCGAATGCCTTTCGGTCTAAGGAATGCTGCTCAAGCATTCCAAAGATTCATAGACGACGTTTTTCGAGGTCTCAACTTCGTACACGCGTATGTTGACGACTGTCTAATCGCAAGTCCGGACAGAGAAACACATCTCAAGCATCTGGATCTTGTTTTCGAACGACTACAAAAACATGACACAACCGTAAACGTTCAGAAATGTCAATTCGGAACCGACTCGTTAGACTTTCTGGGACACACTATCGATGCTCAAGGTATCCGACCCCTTAGAACCAAAGTGGCGGCCATTCTGGATTACCCAGAACCGACCACCGTCAAGCAATTACGCACGTTTAACGGCCTCGTAAGTTTCTATAGACGTTTCATACCGAAATGCGCATTGCTTATAAAACCTCTGACGGACCAACTTCGTGGAAATGCGAAATCCATTAATTTGGACGACAACGCACGAAGAGCATTCTCCACAGTTAAGGAACTGATTGCTAAAGCAACAATGCTCGCATATCAGGACACCCGAGCACCCATTAGTATCGCAGTAGACGCATCCGACTCGGCAATCGGAGGAGTCTTACAACAATGGGTTAACAACTCCTGGCAACCCTTGGCATTTTTCTCTAGAAGGTTGCTAGACACCGAATCGAGGTACAGCACATTCGGTAGGGAACTCCTAGCTATGTATTGTGCTGTACGGCATTTCCAACACTACATCGAAGGTCGTGAATTCACTCTTTTCACGGACCATAAACCGCTCACTTTCTCGTTAAGCTCTCCTTCTGACAAGTACTCTCCCCGTGAGTCTCGACAACTGGACTACATTTCGCAGTTTACTTCAGACATTCAACACATCTCTGGAGCAAACAATGTAGTTGCAGACGCTTTATCTCGTATAACTTCCTTGAACAGTTTCCAAGGAATCGACCTTCTTAAACTCGCCGAGCTTCAAAAAGAAGACAGTAATCTTCAGCACGAGTTATCGTCCACAACACTTAAACTACGCATCAAACAGATGGGAACAGGTAAGGAAACCTTACTTTGTGACACATCTACAGGTAGGGATCGCCCGATCGTGCCGAAACATTATCGACGCAATGTCTTCAACACATTGCACAAACTTTCGCATCCAGGTGTTCGTGCAACCATCAAGCTCATAGCAGAACGGTTTTGCTGGCCTGGAATGAATAAAGACGTGAGGGAGTGGGCACGCTCTTGTGTAAGCTGCCAAAACTCTAAGGTTATCAGACGCAATAAATGTCCCTTAGGCTCGTTTAAAACTCCCGATGCTCGTTTCGACCATGTTCATCTGGATTTGGTAGGACCTTTACCAGATTCAAATGGATACTCTTATCTCTTAACCTGCGTAGACCGTTTCACTCGATGGCCAGAAGCAGTACCTATCAAGGACATCACTGCTGAAACAGTGGCCCGCACCTTCGTCGAACGATGGGTAGCAAACTTCGGTTGCCCTTCAACCATCACTACAGACCGCAGACGTCAGTTTGAATCTGATCTTTTCCGTCGTCTGACCACACATTTAGGAATCACTCGCTTCCGAACGACCGCCTAACATCCACAAGCAAACGGGTTGGTAGAACGTTTTCACCGACAACTGAAAGCTTCGCTATCAGCTGCAAACGTTTCACAGTGGACCGACGCTCTTCCACTCGTCTTACTAGGTATCCGCAATGCAGTGAAAGCTGACATTGGATACACTGCGTCTCAACTCGTTTATGGAACGACACTTCGACTTCCAGGAGAATTCGTGGATCCTTCATCCTCTTCAATGAACATGGATCTAACCTCCTACACGAACAGGCTTACAAGCGCAATGCGTTCAGTTAAACCTGCTTCCACTCGACCTCAATCAACTGATGTTTTCGTTCAACCTGACTTACGATATAGTACACACGTTTTCGTTCTTCGACACTCGCATCGACGACCATTCGAATCAGCATACGAAGGACCCTTCAAAGTTCTTCAACGTGAATCTAAGTACTATACAGTCGATAAGAACGGTACCAACGATAGCATCAGCATCGATCGCTTAAAAGCAGTGTATTTAGAAGGAAATCCTATCTACGTGGATTTTCCTTCGGTACAATCGAACGACACGACTCCGACACTTATAATACCTCATCCGACAACCAACTCACACGATGATACTTCGACAGTATCCGAAAATAAACTTAAAAACGACGCGTTCTGGAAGAAGGGTGAGATTTCTAGAACATTTAAACGACTATTGCACGTAAGGCACTTCTCGACATTTTATATTATTTTTGTAAAAAAAAACAATTTTAATATGCTTATATATTTTTATTTCTATTTAAAAAAAAACAAAACAAAAAAACAATTTTTTTAACGCTATTACGTGCTCATGAGTTTATTTTCCATTTTTTTTCGCCGACATTGTGTTTTTACGCACATACGAGTGTATTTTCGACATGCACTTACATTTTCTTTTTTCTTTTCCAGGACGGCTGGAAAAGAACGATGACGTTTATGAGGATCCGAAATTTTCATTGTACATTTTCTTTTTTTACTATGTTGTACCTCCGTCCCATATAGTAAGGAAAGACGACCAGACGCTGCTAAATTTAGTAAGCTATCAGAAGAGTGTTTACCAAAGACAAACTCGTTGGGTTTAAACTTCTGGCTGGCCACGTCTTAGGGTCGTCACTGCCCCACTAGGGGGGAGTGATCTGTAGCGGTAAATAAATCCCCAAAATAAATAGCTCTGTAAGTTTTCGACATTGGATGCTGACCATATGTTTTAGTGGACTCATCTAGCTGAAGGCGACTGGACATGTGGTTCAGCTGGCTGTTTCCCTTTAAGCACTGATATTATTTCACACAGTTTTTGTTTTATGACACTAGAGTCTTTTGTTCGGTTAGTAGGTTCGAGTTTTATGTTTGGATCCGTTTTCTTTGTTCTAGACATACTGAGATTCCTAGGTCGAGTCGAGATTGACTATGAACACAACTACAAAAGAACACGTACCAGGATATCCATAAAATCCCCTGGAAGCCAAATATCAGAAAACAGTTAATGGACCAATTCGAGATATATTTGCTGGAGATCTCGCGGTATCAAAAGAATACTGAGATCGTGCCAGGACACAAGCTTGGTTACTGAGCGTATCCGGATTCGCGTGAGGTCACAATCGATGTAAGCATAATGGATGTTTTTAGCACAGTTAAACAAAGAGGACATTTAAACAGTCACTGGTACAATTGGTTGTTATAATAATTGTTTTCATTAAACCAATCGTGTTCTCGTGATAAAAGTAAGTCACTACATATCTATGGTGTCATACATAATCTATAGGACAGTCAGAATGAAGAAAGAAAGTGGAAAGGCAGAGTAAAATACATTTGAAAGATGCCTTGAAAGGGATACGCAATACCATGTTGTGATGTAAGACTTACACTTGAGCTGTTCAGAAATCGGGTGTTTACTAATATACCCCGCTGTCCATACAGACGGTGGAAATGAGATGAAGAGCCATTTCATAAGTGAAAATTTAAACTATAGATAACCTGAAGAATTTCCAACTACAAAAATCCATATTCTCATCTGTCTCTTGATAGAAATATGAAATAAAAATAAGATACTGAAAGTGTCCTTGAGTTTTCTGTTCCCGGCAAACTCGAGTACTTTCACGATGCCGTCGTTTGCAGGTTTGGACGTTGACGATGAGGGTAATTAAAACTCCAACTTACATGTACCATTCCATCTCTCTGTATAATACTTCAAACAAAATTATCCGATACATCAGTGCAGATCCATTTTTTGCATCTCTAAAATTACGATTATGTACTCATGTTAGCATTGTAGTTTTGACTAAATTTGTACAACCATACTATGTTTTTCCACCACCCGTCACATTTAAGTCGTACAGAGCCAGGTGTTTCAGGTTGTTTTTGTTGGTTCTGTGGAGCGAATTGTTAACGATAAGATTTCAGTTTATTAGTTAGGGAATTTACAAATTTAGCGGTCATATTGTTAGGCAGTTTAGTCCTAATACAGAAATATTAATAACTATCAATACTACTGGAAGGAGTTTTTCGAAAGAATGGTACAAGTGAAAAAGCAGCCTAAACCTTATCGTAGACTGCTAATATTCTGTTTTCTATCCTGAAAATGTTTCCTGTGATCTTCAGGATAGGGACTTTACCAGTTAATGTTATCGCTAAAGTATGTGTCTTGTCTTTATTCTGTGATTCCAGTCGATCATCAGTATAGTAGGTCTCCATGACTAGATCAGTGAATAAGACTGATAAAGCTGTAATATTTCCGGATCTAACTTTTATAGTTTCATAGCAAATGGAGTCCGGGGTCAGTTGGCTTAAGTCAGCCTGTCTGTTATGATTGCTTATGAGGCCATACTTCACCCACTAATCGTAGGAAACTTATGAATTTTGATAAATCTCGAGATATTACATTTAAGTTGGTCAGGTTCATATGGTTGGAATTTTATTGCTGAAGCCCAGTTCTTTCAAACGTCTTTAATGGATGGGATCACGATTAAACGTTTAAATCACTGGTTTTGGCTAGTCAAAACTTACTATGCTTATGTGTTTATTATATTGTTAGACTATTGTATATTTTAAGTTGTGAAAATATTCATTTGACATCATTCGTGTGGACTAAAGATACCTTCATGAAATAATGGCAGACTAGTGAAATGTTTTGTTTTGCCAGTGTTGTAAGCAGGTCCTTTCATTTGGGCTTTATTTTGTATTTAGACCCCTAAAATGTGCTATCTAGATAACCATATCAAGAAAGGTAGTTTTCCTCAGGGGATTTCCTGAACTCTTACCATCCCACATAGCAACGAAGCAACCATAGATGAGATCCCTTAATAACTGGCAGGTTCTCACTTTATCTTTTTAAGATGATGGGGCCCATTTCCATCATTGGTTTTGAATCAGGAGTTTAAAATTCCCTTACGTTGCCCCTCCATATTTATCAAGTCATCCTACGTTGACGACTCTTGACTTCACCCCCTAACTTTTGTATAAATCCCCAATATGTAAAAACAGTGGGATTTCCATGGAAAACTGTAAATGGGCAATCATATAAGAGAATTTTAGGAAAGTGAAAAAATCTTACCTTGTGGTGTGCTAAGGAAAAAATGTCAGTGCTGTTAAAAAGTTTCGTAACTAGTACTTGACATTAGATCTATCAGTCAGTCAGCTACAATGTAGGACCAGGCACATATATGCATCAGTTATCATACCTCATTAGTACAACAATATGAACATTGATATTCGATGAAGCCATTAGATTTGTGGCTTCATCGAATATTAAAATTTATTTAGAGTCAAATTTTAATGGAGCAGTGGGCTAGTGTCTAATATATAGTTTAGGAAGTATTCCAAATCAGTGTGCACAATTTGACTATATCATGTAAAGTAGTCAGCCAGTCACAACGTAGAATCTGGCATGTATTTACATCAATTCAAGTTGCCATACCTCATCAGAACAGAGAGATGAAGTTGTCAGGCCAAGCTGCAGAATAGTAGAGGTATTAGCAGTGCCAGTTTTGGGTTCATGTTAATGATTTCATTGGTTCAATACGTTTCAAAGTATTTAATTTTGAACGCTATGTTCAACTATTTTCTGTTGGTTATTTATTTATCCTCTTCAGAAATTATTCCTGATATTCTGGACCAGAAACCCAAAGTTGAAGACCATCTGGGTTCAACAATTATAGTGGATGGATGTCCTGTTGTTGGCCCAGCTAAATTCGAGCTTCTTAAAAAGTTTTTGCTAGATAAATTTTCGAAAATCGGCCCGATAGTAGATCATGAGTTCCCTTTGGATAATGAAAAACAAACAAAAGGATATATTTTCATTACCTACGAGAACGGAAAGGCAGCATCACAAGCTGTCCGAACCATGAATAATGTTCCTCTGGACAAGAATCACACTTTCCAGGTTACTCTATTGTCAGATTTCGAACGAGTAACAAATGTTCCGACTGAATGGGTACCTCCACCCAAACAAGAATATAAGGATTTAGTGAGTTGTATTCTGTTAACTTATAGAGGTCAATTTTAGGGTAATTTAAAGAGCTGGTTGTTGAATGAGTTTTGTCGGGACCAGTTTGCGGTTGTCTACAATGATGGTGAAACTGGATCCGTTTATTGGCATACTGCTGTCGAACCAGTTGTGGCTGAAGAACGGGCTCATTGGACTGATGGGTGGATGCGTTGGTCACCCAGAGGGACTTATTTGGCAACAATGCATTCTTTGGGTATTATTTTATGGGGCGGTGAGAAGTTCCAAAGAATCGGTCGTTTTCCCCATTCAGGTGTCAAAACAATAGAATTTTCACCCATGGAACAGTAAGTTGTTATTTTTATTCATATTCCATACCTACTGTTATGTGCTTTGATGTTATCAAAGTGCTTTTTTGTATCTATGACTGGTTTCGGAATCCAACTTCATTTTATTCCTATAGTCATTTTGATGGAGATTTGTTCTCTGAGCTGGATAGTTTGATCGTGGAGCCTTCATCGTTCTTCTGAACATCATCAGCACAAACTTCAGATAGAAGTGAAGTGTTCGAATCTGTCCACATGTGGTTCACAGCTTGTCTTGTAGACCTCGAGGTTGATTGATTCTTGTTGACATTAAACCTGTCATTGTTTACTTCTTTGTTTTGGTTGTACACCTCGAGGTGTACAGGACAAGCTGTGAAACACATATGGAGAAATTCGAACACTTCACTTCTATCTGAAGTTTGTGCTGATGATCTTGTTCAGAAGAACGCTGAAAGCCCCACGACCAAACCATTCAGCTCAGAGAACGAAACTCCATCAAAATCATCCACCTGAGCTACAAATCTCCACTATTCCTTTAGTCAAGATTTCTGACAACAGTGCAAATGTGTATTGATCAAGAGCTGTATGAAAGTGTTATAACGTGAAAAATAATTGCTGCGGATTAAGGGTAGCGGATTATTGATCGGACCAAAGACGCGCCAACACGTAGAACGACCTAGGGTTCTGATTGGTCTCGCTTCCCTGTATAGCCCAGCCAATTGAGTCCAGAACACAAGTCTCAGCCTCGGATATATGAATCATTATATTTCAAACATACTTTGTTTATATACCAGTCAAGCAGTCCACAGCGTACCATAAAATAGAAGATAACATTGTACAATAATGGCCAACAGGAAAATAACACGTTAAATAAGTATTGACCAATAAGATGATACCATTTCATGTCCAAGGATAGCATTAGGCTTAACAGGATAATTTTTGGGATATTTCCCTGAATATCCCAACAGAAAGTTAGTCTTGGAGGATTGGACCGTGGATATAGTAACTAGTAAGGTCTATTTGATCAATAAAATATAAGCGTTTGGCTGAGATTAAAATTTTAGCCAAGTAACTCGTCTGTCTTAAGGACCATTTTCAAAAAGTGCGCATAGTCAAACAAAGGTTGTTTTACGTTTTATGGATAGTTTTCCATGTTCAGTTAGGAAAGGTACAGGTGTCTCATTCCCAAAAGTCATTGTTTGGGGCTGTATTTATATTTTAAAGTAAATTGACCTTGTCTACACAGTTGATTTCGAACTAAATATGATTGAACATCACTGTACTTCCTGACATCTATACATAAGTGTTCCGATTACCATTGGGGAATAGGCCACCTTCCAGGGATATTCAACCAATTGTTCCCTGAACTTCCCTTTCTAGTCGTTACCAAGTGCTATTTAAGACCTTGATACCTGTCTCCAGTTCCTATCCACACCATTGGCTGCTTTCTCATAGTCAAGGATGATGATTTATAGCTATGAGTTCCACTCAACTGATTGTTCAGCAATGTTCTGCAATGTTGCTTCGGTCTGGGCACCCGGGCAGTATCACAGCCCACACACAAATGATGAGCTGTCTATAATTATGGAAACTACTTTTCTTGCTTCAACTAACAATCAAATGATTCAAGTTATTATTATTATTATTATTATTATTATTATTATTATTATTATTCACCCTCTTTTATTCCTACTCTGTCTATACTTATTTTTTCGACTTATACAGCAGCTCGTCTATGGTGGAAATTCGACTCTGTCTAAACGTTCTCGCGTCATTGTCAGGTGTGGCGCATATATATTGGCGCTCTCCTGTACCAATATTTATGTGTTCAAATAAATAATAAATAATAAATATAATAATGTCGCAGTTTGGTCGGTGCACAATCGATTTTTAAGAAATTCATCTTGTTGATTTCATAGTTGACCAAATATTTCGTTCTGTCTAAGAATACTCTCGTTTGATACCAAAAGCAGCATAATCTTTTTGCAGTCCTCAGATTTACTAAAACCCTCCCTCGGTATTTTGATGAGGTATCCTTTCCTGGTTTTTGGTACTTCTTCCTGCTAAGTCTTTCTAAAGAGAACATGAAACATCCTTGTAGTTATCTATATATCTGACTTCAGTGCTTCAGCTGAAGTGCTATCTGGTTGTGCTCTGCCATACTGTATTTCCCTGCAAACTTTTTGGTTGCATTATTTGGTTATTTCATATCTTTTTCTCATGCTTTTTCTTCTGTAGTTGCTAGATCTTCTACATCGACTTGTCATCTCTAATGCTCTTCACCCTTTTGTGTACTTCTGTACATTCAATATGTGCCTTGACTTTATGCGCCATTATTTGGTTGTTGTTGTCGACTGTTTTGTTATTTCTCGTTCTTTAAATCCTTCACAGGGTGTCTAAGGTGACCCATTTTTTGTTCTAGTGTTTCTTAGAGCCCATGTTTAAGTTTTTGATTTTCTAGTCCATTTCCAGTTGTTTTTTTATAGTCGTTTCTTACTCCAGCATATTTTGTAAAACTTGAAAATTATTGTTGGGAGTTATGTTGAACTCATTGAGTTTGTTAATATCTCGAAGGAAGGCTCTATCATACGTTGTAGTGCTTCTCGTCCAATTATTTAGTACTTATTAAGCTTCATTTTAGCCTGGCAACTACCAGGCGGTGATTTAAAGCTCTCTCTGGTTCTCTGTGTTCTTACGCCTTTCAAAGGCCTAAATTTTTTGGTCAATTTGGCTTTCTGTAATGTGGCCCGGCGCAATCCTTATGACTTTTGGTATGTATTTTTGGGGACAATGCTCCCACCTGTGATCATGTTAAAAGAACACAGATTTACCGATCTCACTATACTTGTTCCTTTGTTCTAGTCCTTTGTGCCCCATAATGGGTTCATACCCAATAATGACTATCTCGACCTCGGCGTTTAGGTTGTTCATCAGTATAATCAGGTGCTTTTCTGGACATCTCCGTATGATGGACTACAGCCTCTTTTAAGACCGATCTCTATAATCTTTTCTGCTATCGTTAGGGGATTAGTAACACCGGGTTTCTCATCCTGCATGTTCTTCTCCTACTGTTTTGGAGAGCATCAGTACAACTCCCTATGTAGCATTTTATTCGTGACCAGAATAAAATAACTCCCTCCTGAAGTTACCTTAATTGTCCAAATTATGTCTAATGGCTATCACCTATTCCAAACAAAGCCATGTTGTATCTCCTCATTTTTGTCTCTATTTGATTGACACCCTCTCGGTTTCCTTTTTTTTCGCACATTCTATGTGCTTATATTAACTGTTGTCTTGGTTGTCTCAAGGATTATCGGTCTCTCAGCTTTCACAATGAGGCATTATAATTCTGTGTGAAAACTCCTCAACCTCCAAGAGAGAGTTTAAATGGTTTAGATACATTTTTCTGGTTATCATTTTTATGGTGCGGTGTTATAATTTCTCTTATTACTGCCCAGCTACTCCTCTTACTTGGTATTCTTGAACAATACTTCACTCAATCAGTCCCCAAATCAGAACACGGGTGAACAGGAACGTAATTATATTCGAAATAAAAAGTTGGATGCTAGTAGAAATCACAGTAAGAGAAAAGTATGTTTATAGTTTCCACATGAGAATGTTTTAGTCTTCTCGAAATATCAGTTAGCGCTAATTGGATAAGAAATAACCAATCAGCGTACCTCATCACAATTCTTCACAGAAGGTGCTTTAATGTAATCTATATCCCGTTAACACGGGGTTCTTTTACGGGGTGGGGTCGCAAACCCTACGTCCATCCCTCTACCTTTGTGCTTGGGGCGGGATGTAATCCAAAGGGGCTCCAGGCGGAGTTTGTGTTCTTGTTAGTCTTTAAATAAAATGTGTAGTTTATGGTCCAGCGCGCAATTCCTGAATCACACTATTTTTTCGTGTTATGTAAGTTGGTTGAATAGTGATGGTATTAACTAATCATTCATGCTAATACAAACTAGTCAAGCATCTTTAACGACTAGACTGGGTTTAGGATTTTTACAGATGTAAACATTTATACCATGTTGAAGGATAACCGTTAAATCAAGTGGAAAGTATTTTTTTAATCAAGATAAATCTTAAAACTATAGTACTTTGTGAAGTAAAAAAGGTAACAATTCTTATCTTAAAAATATAAAGTAAACTTCTGAGTTTGTCTCTTAATTATTATTCAGTTACTGTAATTTTGTTTAATTTCCATATTTACCTGATAGATTTATGATAACTTTGAGTCCAAGTCCCAACTTTCCCACCGATGAACGTGCAGACGCAATCGTGTGGGATGTGAAGCGCTGTGTTAGTCGTCGAGAGTTCTCCGTTCCAATCGATTTCCATCCGGCCTTCAAATGGTCTCCAAAGGATGAATATTTTGCTTGCTTGCGAGACGGTGTCATTAGTATTTACTGTGCTAGCAATTTTAGACTTTTGGATAAAAAGAAAATTGGGGGCAATATTCGTGATTTTTCTTGGTCACCGTCTGATAATATTTTAGCGTACTGGGTACCTGAATCTGATAATACTCCAGCCAGGTATGTCCTGATTTAACTTATCGGTTACGAACAAACTATTTTGATTTTCACAATAACATCTGTGCTAAGGTATCAGTATAATTTTAATTCCTTTCATCAATCCTTCACTTATTTATTTGGTAGTTTTGGCGGTATTTATTAATTGTAAGAGATGTTTTTCATGAGTCCACTTCAGCTGAAAAACTAAGTAACCTTAAACAGCTATTTTTTCCCAACATAAGTTTTCTTGAGATCCTTCAGCTCTGATATTTTTCTATTCAAAGAATATGCCTTTAGTTTTATACTTCTGTTATATTTATAAACCTTTAAGCAGTAATTATGTTATAGTATTTGTAAGACAATTAGAATGTCTGTCGAATCATCATTACATCACAATAAAATGCCTTCAAATTGATCTTTTCAAGCTGTGTTATTAATTTAAAATTGCAAGGGATGTAAACAAGCGGACATCATTAATTCTCCTATTTTTATTATGTAGACAAAAAGTAAATCAATACAGTGTTACATTTATTCACTGATTTAATGTCATTAATTAATAATTTAGAGTTGTTCTTTTGGAAGTACCAAGTCGTCAGGAACTATGCACAAAGAATTTATTTTCCGTAGCTGAAATCAGTCTTCTATGGCATGAACAAGGTGACTTTTTAGCTGTTCAAGTATTAAGGTGTGCAAAAAAGAAGTTGGACGGTGAAAAGCAAGTTAAATATGTGGTAAGTTTTGGATGCTGTAAATGATTTTTATTCTGGCCAATGTGACAGTTATTCTCACATATATACAGTGTATCCATTTTCTGTCTCATCAGATTTATCTACTGCACATTAGTTATTTAAATTTTCAATATCAAATTTCACGGATTCAAAAAAAATCCCGTCTTTATTTTTTACATTAAAATGGTTACTGTCATATGTGATACAACTATCACACAATTTTACCGAAAAACTCACCACAACACTGATAAAGCACAAATTCATGCTATCTTGGATTATTCTCCAACCTCATCCTCAGTATTTGAAAAGAAATGTAGACATTGAAGAATACATATACTGCGGCTACCGAGGATAGTGATATAGTTGGAGATGTACTTACTTACGCCTGTTACTCCCAATGGAGCATAGGCCGCTGACCAGCATTCTCCAACCCACTCTGTCCTGGGCCTTCTTTTCTAGTTCCGTCCAATTCTTGTTCATTTTTCTCATGTCTATCTCCATTTCCCGGCGTAATGTGTTCTTTGGTCTTCCTCTTTTCCTTTGACCTTCAGGATTCCATGTGAGGGCTTGTCTTGTGACGCAGTTGGGTGCTTTCCTCAATGTGTGTCCTATCCACTTCCAGCGCTTCTTCCTGATTTCTTCCTCCACTGGGATCTGGTTTGTTCTCTCCCACAGTACGTTGTTGCTAATAGTGTCCGGCCAATGGATCTGAAGTATTTTGCGTAGACAATTGTTGATAAACACCTGTATTTTCTGGATGATGGCTTTTGTAGTTCTCCAGGTTTCTGCCCCATACAGTAGAACTGTCTTGACATTTGTATTGAAAATCCTGACCTTGGTGTTGGTTGACAGTTGCTTTGACTTCCAGATGTTCTTCAGTTGTAAATATGCTGCTCTTGCTTTGCCGATCCGCGCCCTCACATCTGCATCAGATCCACCCTGTTCATCGATGATGCTGCCCAAATACGTAAAGGTTTTTACATCTTCCAAATCTTTTCCGTCAATTGTGATTGGATCGGTGCATTCTGTGTTGTATCGGAGAATCCTGCTTTTCCCTTTGTGTATATTGAGACCTATTGCTGCTGAGGCTGCTGCCACACTGTTTGTCTTCTCCTGCATCTGTTGTTGCGTTTGGGATAGAAGGGCCAGATCGTCTGCGAAGTCTAGATCATCCAACTGCATCTCAGATGTCCATTGTATCCCGCGCTTCCCTTCAGACGTTGACGTCTTCATGATCCAGTCGATCACCAGGAGAAAGAGAAAGGGTGAGAGTAAGCAACCTTGCCTAACACCGGTCTTCACTTCGAATGACTTTGTCAACTGTCCTCCATGCACGATTTTGCAGTGTAATCCATCATATGAGTTCTGTATGATATTGACTATCTTCTGAGGCACGCCGTAGTGTCGAAGAAGTTTCCATAGTGTTGTTCTGTCCACGCTATCAAATGCCTTTTCGTAGTCAATGAAGTTGATGTAGAGTGATGAATTCCATTCAATAGATTGTTCCACAATGATCCGTAGAGTTGCGATTTGGTCTGTACACGATCTATCCTTACGGAATCCTGCCTGTTGGTCTCGAAGTTGGGCGTCTACGCAGTCCTTCATCCTGTTTAACAATACTCTGTTGAAGACTTTTCCCGGTATTGAGAGAAGAGTGATGCCCCTGTAGTTATCACACTTGCTGAGATCGCCTTTCTTCGGTATTTTGATCAGTAGTCCTTCTTTCCAGTCTGTTGGTACTTGTTCCCCATCCCAAATCTTATTGAAGAGAATGTGGAGTATCCGTGCAGTTGCCGCTACGTCTGCTTTTAGTGCCTCTGCTGGAATGTTGTCCGATCCTGCTGCTTTGCCACTCTTGATTTGTCTGATGGCCATGCTGATTTCTTCAATTGTTGGTGGGCCAACATTAATTGGGAGGTCCGTGGGTGCTGCTTCGATGTTGGGTGGGTTCAGTGGGGCTGGTCGATTCAAGAGTTCTTTGAAGTGTTCTACCCACCTGTTTTGTTGCTCTTCAATGTTGGTGATTACCTCGCCTTCCTTGCTTTTCACTGGTCGTTCTGGTTTGCGGCGATTTCCAGAGAGTTTCTTTGTCGTGTCATACAATTGTCTCATGTTTCCTTCTCTTGCAGCCTTTTCTGTCGTCGTTGCTATATGTTCCACATATTTACGTTTGTCGGTTCTGATGCTCCTCTTCACTTGTTTGTTTATTTCCGTGTATTCAGCTTGTGCCTTGGCTTTTTCTGCTCTTGTTCGGCTGGTATTGATCGCTGCCTTCTTGTTCCTCCTTTCTTGAATCTTGTCCAATGTACCAACAGTGATCCATTCCTTGTGATGGTGCTTCTTGTGACCCAGGACCTCATGACATGTTGAAGTGATTGCCTCTTTGATCCCCTTCCAGTTGCTCTCCACAGTAGTTCCTTCTCCATTGAGTAGATCATGAAAGGCCTGGAACTTGTTGCTGAGGACTATCTTGAATTCGTTGAGTTTATTAGTATCCTGGAGAAAGGCCGTATTGAACTTTTGTGATACTGTCTGCCCCGTTGTCCAGTGCTTCTTGAGTTTCAATTTCATCTTGGCGACCAGTAAGTGATGATCTGATGCTATATCAGCTCCTCTCTTGGTTCTCACGTCCTCTATAGTCCTCCTGAACGTTTTGTTGATGCAAATATGGTCGATTTGGTTTTGTGTAGAGTGATCCGGTGAAGTCCATGTGGTTTTGTGTATGCGTTTATGTAGGAATATGGTGCCGCCTATGACCAGCTTATTGAAGGCACATAGATTTGCAAATCTCTCACCATTTTCGTTTCTTTCTCCCAGTCCGTGTCGTCCCATGATGTCTTCATATCCAGTGTTGTCCGTTCCAACCTTGGCGTTGAAATCTCCCATCAGAATGGTCAGGTCCTTTGTTGGGCACTTCTCGATGATTGACTGCAGCCTATTGTAGAATTGATCTTTCGCGTCTTCATTGTAGTCGTTGGTAGGCGCATAGCATTGAATGATGTTCATTGAAATGCCCTCTTTCTTTGTTTTGAAGGAGGCTTTGATGATCCTTGGTCCATGAGATTCCCATCCTATAAGTGCATTTTGTGCTTGTTTGGACAGCATCAATGCAACTCCTTGTGTATGTGGTGCATTTTCTTCTTCATGGCCGGAGTATAACGGGAGCTCTCCTGTAGTTAGTCGTTGTTGTCCAACTTGTGTCCAATGTGTTTCACTGATCCCAAGTACCTCTAGGTTGTATCTTCTCATTTCTGCAGCAATCTGGAAGGCTCTCCCGGTGTCCCACATTGTACGAACATTCCATGTACCTAAATAAATGGTCGCTCTGGTTGTCAGAAGGGGCATCGGCCTCATAACTTCCGAAGGGATTCGGCTTTCATCATGAGTGCTTGTTAAACAGTGTAATCTTGAATCCCCTTATAAGACAGATTTGATACCTGTCCTATGAATCATTGTTGTCCGGTATAAACTAACGATACATGATAACGCTTTATTAGTTGTATTTGGTCCATACATAGATTTCGAAAGGAAGACTGATTTTTTGTAAAATGGACTTCTACTGCTTAAACAGCAGGTAGAAATACGGTACGGCTCTTATATATATATATATATATATATATATACGTGAATCATCAATTTTCGGTTCACAGTGGACTTATGGCCAACAAAAATAAAACCTAAGAGGGTACCTACACTTCTCCTCCCCCAATATGCTGATCGATAAGTGGTTTAGACAGTTATCAAGTCTCTGGGTGATGACTGCTCATAAGACTGAATTGTTGACCTATGCATCCGATTAAACTGATATCAGAAGATAAGGCGGTTGCTCAGTAGAATAGCCTTTTTGATTAAAAGGTTGAATAAATGATTGTACCATATAGAAACTATCGGTCATCCATCCTCCAACGGAGTTAATGCGTAACCATCAAGCTTAATTCCTACTAAGTCATATCAGAGATCTAGATATTTTTTAAATAGCTCTAGTGTTTTACAATAAACAAATTGTTCAGTTATTAAATATGAAATGCAAGTACTTAACTGATTGTAAATAAAGCTAGTATTTCATGAGTTTTAGGCGAAAATCGTGATTTTAAATTTTTTTGTTAAACAAAGTTGCTTCACTTTTCCAACTCATGATCGAGCGACAAATTAATGCCTATTAAAAGAACCTTTATCGTATACATTTTGTAAGTAATTACTTGGAAACCTGTTGTTGGTTATCAACAAATTTTAATAAGCACGGCCTTCAGAATAATGTCTATAATGTTGATGTTCTTTTAGCTTTTCATTAATAGTTTACTGTCTTCCAATCGAAAACTGTTTATTTGATTAAGTTTCATTCTGAAATTCAGTGACTGATTTTTTAAAAAAAAGCTAAATATTACTAATCTGTTTTTGGAATCAGTGATAATAAGACATTAAACATGCAAACTATGTTTAAAATAACTCTAACGTTTCACCAGATAAAATAGTTTGGACTTCACCAGGGAAATAATCGCTTACTTTCCTGAAAAAGACATGCAAAACATTGGAATAATTTGAATTCCTGTTATTGAGATTATTTCAAAATTAAATTCCACATTTAATGTCTTTCACTTACTCTGCCCCCTAGTCCCGTCAAACTAATTATTCAAACTGTGATGAACATTTGTTTCAGTGATAATAATCCATAAAAGTATTTATTAACTACTTTTTCACCTTACTAAATATCTTAGCATAATTGTTAGCATATGCTTGTAGAATAATGTTTTAGCAGATAATCGTATGCTTGTTGGAGTTTATAAAGCAGAATACGATGATGTAACTGCAATCGTAGTAAGTGTTTGACTGCATATCAGACATGAATATTTGTGTCGTCTTTGTTGATTCACCAATACACTGTATATGGGGATGAGTGTTTAGTTTTCTAATTGATATTTGATATGATTTAATTCGTTTTTCTTTTACTATCAGGGTACCTACACCAATTTTGAAATTGTTCGTTTAAGAGAAAAATTATATCCTGTTGATCAGCTGGAAGTTAAAGGCACTGTATCGAATTTTCAATGGGAACCTTGTGGTACACGTTTCGCTTTCTTACAATCTGTAACAAGTGGAAAATTGTCAATCGCTATTTATGATGTATCTCGTGGAACTAATGTTCGCGAAGTTACTGTTCTTGATCTTGCTTCACCTCGAACCAATGATCTTCGTTGGTCATCTAAGGGTGGGATTATTGTAGCAGCAGGTTTAAGAAGGTGAATATAAATTATTGTTAAAATCCCATGCAATTGAACAATTTCCCGAAGAAAGGTATTTTCTTCAAGCATCTGGACTAGGCTAGGTTATTTGTTTTTAATTTATACACATAATTGGACAAGTGAAGTTAAAAAATCCTGATATTCTTGCACCTGTGTCCCATAAAGCGAATACCTATATATATATATATATATATATATATATATATATATATATATATATATATATATATATATAAGTTGGGAACTCACTTTTGGTGACATGTAATGTAACTGGTTATCTATTAATTCGACCATCTAGATTTTTTATTTGCTATAATCAGCATTATATGGTTGTTAGAATGGTGAATAGGATGCTGATCGACTAGTAGTAATTCGAAAGAATACGATGTGGCCAAGATGGTAACTGTCTGTATCAATTACTGTCAGTTACCAAATGAACAATTGACAACGCAGTTAATCTGTCTTCTTCCGTTCTAATGAAATAAAATTGTGAAACAAAATAAGTTTTAATATTGCATAACTTATAACGAATTGATATGCGAGACGGTATTGGAAAATTATTGAGACTCATTAAACTTATGGGATTGAATGTCGGTTAGTTTTTATTCACACGATAAATTAACAGACATAATTATATAGGATGAGTCCAAAGGCTTGCCTTAAAAACATTATTTTTAATGATTTATAGTTGATCTACCGTAGGTCAAACGGAAAACTAGTTGATTATTCAGTTTACTGATATTTATGCCATTGATAATTGTTATGACGGTTGGTTTTCCACATTTACCTGTATGGGACGTAAATTTACCTTAGAAGAATATCTACACTAGATTCCCTCTCAGTGTATATTTTACGATATTTCAACACAACTCATATCAAGAACACGTGATTAAACTGACCACAACGTAAATTTATTTCCACACCAAAAAACCCAACTTAAACCAACAACAATGAACAATCAATAATAATACTTATAAAGATAGGGGAATATATAACTCATCTGACACCTGTCAGACTATCGACATGTCTGACTAAGCAGATAACCAATCATTATCATTCTCGTTCACATATCAATAATATTGTTAATTTCCGCATCATTAATTCAAGTCCTATCATAACCTTCTTTCTTCTCAAATACCATCATCATTTGAAGCATCGGCTACTTTACCTTCCAACACTTTGTTCTTTATATAAAAACATTTGTGTTGGTTTCAGTGTTTCAACTGAAAGCTTATGAACTTTATCACAATTTAGTGAATTTATAGTGAAAATTCCCATTTCAACATTTGGTAAATAAAGAAGGAACGAATCGAGCGAGAAAATGCTTTTCAATTAGTTTTTCATCATGGCACTTCACTAATGTATATATATATGATTTACAATGATGAAATAATACTCATCGAGTGGATACGTTACGTAATAATTATATTATGACATCCATTATAAATTGGAAGAATTTAGCTACGATTTTTATGTTATCATCTAGGAAGTGTTGTTTATGAGTTTGTGCCATGATTCATTGTATATGTTTTTGGTTATGGTATAACGAATTCTTTCAATCTGTTAGCTTACTGAGACACATCCCAGTTTTTGATTTTCCAGTTAGTTTTAACAAGTCATAACTTGGGTTGCATATGGCTTACCTTTCATATTGCATATTTTTTAAAAATTTAGTGCTGATGGTATACTGGAATTCATTTCAGCAAATGAGGGTCAGATTTTAGCTAAGGGAGAACATCCAACTGTTAGTGATATACAATGGGATCCTACAGGAAGGTATATAGCGACAACAGTAAGTAGTTTCTATCAGAAGAATGATAATGCAATATGGTTTTGGAATTGTGTGGGTCGTTGCTTGTATAAAATGAATTTGCGTGGAATTCGCACTTTCATCTGGAGACCACGACCACCTACACTACTCAGCGCTGAACAGCTGCAGGTATGTTGGGTATAATTTAAATATGGGCTTTTTTAATATGGCTAGAGAATCACAAATTAGACAAGAGTAGGCTGACTGTTGTACGAAAATCAGCATATCAGTTAGTATCTTATGAATAATAGTGTAGTGTAGTAGTATTTAATGTAGTTCTCATATGTAAAAGTTTAATGTCGATGAAAGAATCGCATTTCTCAAATGCTGTCTGTTAAAACGTTAGTCTTTCATTGTTTAGAAAGTCCAGTCAACTCGGGATATCATAGGACAAAACCTAACACGAATATACATGCAATACTCATCAGCACAATAAAAGAGGAAACACGCAAAAGAGAAGCGGATGAAAAATAACTATAATTTGTATTATAATAAAGATTTGAACATAAAAGAAATCGTTCACGAGAACACAATGGTATTGGAGAATAAAAAGTGTGGACCAATGTCATGTTCACTATTAGAAAGGTGACGAAACGTATCTTGATTTAATATGACCAAGTTTGAGTTGTGCCTAAAAACGCCTTAAATAGCAGATTATCATTATCTCCATAGATTCCGGCCAGAAAATCTAAATCTACTATCATGACATACTTTATCTGTCGATGACTGCATGTAACAACACTTTTTCGATGTTTACCATTACATGTTAGTGTAGATAGACAGTGACTGAATGTGCTTACTACATGTCAAAATCATCTAAAGCAGTGATTAGTTGTCATTTGATTCAATTTAGCATTTTCATCTCAGACCATACAATTAACCTAAAAACTGCCCACTTGGTAATCGAACCGTATCGAAACAATGGTTCGAAAGCACTTGTAATAGCATACTTGTAGCTGACACATGTCTTCCACTTTCATAAATCACATAAAACTGGACCTGGTGATCGAGTTGGATCATTACCATTAGTTCGTTGCAATTCGGTTCTTTATTAATAAATCAACGGAAATTTTTTTATCTTGGGCATCACATACAATTATTTGACGCTTGTTAATTTTTCTCTTTTGTTGAAACCAGTTGACTCATTTTCATTGGGTTCTTTTTCTTTGTTGTTTAACACGTGGTATGTGTTATAGGCTATTAAAAAGAATATGGCAAAATATAATTCACAGTTAGCCAACGAAGATCGTATGCTTGCTTCAAAGGCTAGCAGAGAATTGCTTGAGAAACGACAAAAATTATTAACTGAATTCAATATTTGGAAAAATGCTATCATTAAATTATATAATAAAGATGAAGAGGAACGCTTTAGATTAAGAGGTATGTGCGACGGGGTTCATTCAAAGCAAGCTATTGTTATTTTTCTAAGTTTGGAGGATTACTACTTAGATGGTAATGTAAAATTTTTAATTTTTAATGAAGTTATAAAAAAAAATACTCAAAATAGACCAACTTCGATAGTCTTTCGAATTTATAAGCATGATTTTCAATCTCATTGTCATCAATTCAAAATTACATACATATAGCTTCGAAATGAACGAGTTAGTATTACTATTCATTTTAATACAATATATTTTACTTACTGTTTTGTTGTACACCAGCGTGTTTACATTGACTTAATCTATTTTATAAGAAATTTTATACAATAAGTTTATTTGTGATAACTTTGACTGATCTATATGTATATTGATTCTTACACTGATTTTGACTGGTTGACTGGCTAACTCAGAGTTTGCTTGAAAATAATACAAATTTTCTAATAGTAATGATTTAACTAAGCAAACTGAACACGATATCAAGAATGGATTTATGCTAATATTACACAAATAAACAGAAAATATGATTACTTCTAAGAATCTTGTATCATGGACCCGCGAAATATCGGAAGACAAATCCTGGTCTGTGGCTACGAAGGATTAATATTTTACGTGGTTTACATACATCTGTAAACAACCTAAACTTGCAATAAGAAAATAATTAAATGGTTATTGCTGATTAGTTCAGTAACAGTGTAAATTGTCCAAAAATGTTATTCTTATCATTTTACAAGATAAATCTAAAGTAGGATAGTTTCTATCTCATTGACCAATGAACTAAAATGTTGATTTCTAAATTGATTGTTTCTCAGCTTTCTGTTATATTCACGGATACCATTTGATATTTTTCATGGCCATTACGGACACTAAGAATTGAGAATGATTTAATTATACTTTTTAGTATTTATAAGTTAAATTAATATCACGCTTACAATAGATCGAGTATTTTATTTGATAGACCTAAAAAAATATTCTGTTTCACCCTTGAAACTGTCTATCATCTGAATTAGACACTATGTCATTTGATAAACTTTTGAGGATTTTCATATTCTTATTGAAAATTATTCTTAGTTATGCAAAAAAGTTTTATTCAAAACAAAATTGTAATATGTTTGCGGTGTTTATCAGTTATCAGTTGTTTATTTAAAAGAATAATAAATATTCACCTTCAGTTTAGTTTTCATGATAAAATGAACTATTTACTTATTATAAAATGTGATATATTAAGTTTTTGATTGAGATCATGAACCGATTGATGTTGAACCACTATTGAAAACCTGGAAGCACTGGACGGCTGTTCCGCCCTATTGTGGGCTCCTCAGCAGTGCGCATCCACGATCCCGCTCGCGGGATTCGAACCTTGTACTTCCAGGTTTTCAATGGTGGTCTTAACACCAATCGGTTCATGATCTCAGTCAAAAACTTAATAATCTCCACAACCCTTATGTGATATATTAGTTAATTTTCGATACTTTTCACAATATTTGACTTTTGTATTGTCAGTTTTACTCTACATATTCCATTTTTATCAAGTTAGCAATAAGGAGGCTACTATCAGGTATTATGAAATTATTATCTCCATTTCAACTTAATATAATTTGATAGTTTACTTGTGAAAATGACATTAATATCATCAGTATATTAACAATTCTATACTTTAATAATTCATTTCATATTTTTATATTGAAAATGAAAGGTTCTGGCGCTGATACATCATCTCGTGAACCTCAAACAGAAGAAGAATTGGAAATTTTAATCAGTGCTGTACATGAAACAATTCATAAAAATACAGACGAATAATAAATGAATACACTTTGTAACCATAGTTATCTATCTTTTTTTCTTCTCTCTCTTTCTATCTCCCTTAAACAAACTGTACAAAATAAAATCTGAATTTAAAAAAGATATGAAATTATTGTTACGATTTGATTGTTCAGCAAAATTCTTGTAAAAAATATAGCGAAATGGAAATATGGAAAAATTAATTTTAAATTCTTATTTGCTAAAATTGATTGATGGTTTGTTTGTGAAGTGTTCAGTTTTGTGTTTCCTTCTCTCTTTTTGTCTTCTGTAATTGCGTTTCTGGTATTTTTATTGATGATTGTGTACTGTATGAAATTCAAACTATGGTAACAATTCGTAACTGTAAACCTTATTTATTTCGTGTATTCACTTATTTGGTAAAATAACATTTATGAAGTGTTTGTTTATTTACTAGTCAATCATAAGCAACGAAAAAACTTGATACATATGCTTAAGCTACCGCAACATATTAGCACAGAAAGATGAATTTATGAAGAAAAATCCCAGAGTAGTAGTAATCGTATGTGTAGTAGCAGAAAACACTAAGCGTAGACATTATTATTTGAGTGGAATGATAGAATCCATGAAAAAAAATCAGAAAATAATTTTGGAACTCGAGATTTAAAGAGACATAAATTAATGAATGTAACTACGCTATTTCCAGCTCTTCTAGGCCATTAACTCCAGCATTTCCAACTTTTGGTTACAATAGGTATCATTACCAAGGTCTGACTTGATGATTACGAATAAATTGAGTATCGGGTAGATTGTTATAAATAAATTCCTATATTTGTAATGAGTAGGAAAATTAAATTTTTTGACGATTCGCCACTTCAGAGATATAATAACCAAATAAAAATTTATCCAAGTTTAAATAGTATAATGGAACAACACAAGAATATTATGTGATCAGTCAAAAACAGGTCTGAATACATAATATTCTTGTGATGTTCTGTTGTACTGTTTAAACTCGGATTAATTTTGACTTAGTTATTTTTTTGAAGTGCCTTACACGGAGTCACGAAACGTCAGAAAATTTAGTTTTCCTACTCGTTGGGATATTACAAATATATTAATTTATTTTGGTTACAATAATCGCCTGGATCTCAACCAAATAGTAGATCCCAAAAATCTACGCCTTCTGTGAGAAAGATGCTTGCAGAGTTCATTATCACGCTATTTACTAGATACTGTGCACAATATGGATTTGATGAATTACTGTTCAATAAATAATTCGATTCAACATTTCTTAAATTCACAGAAGCCGTAACAGAAGACTTAAGTGTGATTTTTGTATTCAAAAGTCAGTAGTTAACCCTTAACAACTTTAATGACATTATTACCCCTTTATTTAACTTAGTGAATTCATCATAATTTAATGAGTTGGCCTCAACCTGTTACAAAATAACTACCCTTCGTAATACTTTAATTCTGAAATTCTTTCACACCATTACATCCAACTTATTTTGATTGACAATTAATTGTTAATATTATATTATCAATGAGAAGGTAACTAAACATATTAGCTTGTATTTAAGTGAAGAGCAAACAACAAAAAAATACAATGAAGTTATCATATTCTATAAATATTATCGTTTGTGGTTTGTTTAATTCATATGGAAATTATTTCTAATACTGTTACAGTTTTTGTTAATTTGGATGCGCACTGCTGAGGAGTCCCATAATAGGACGAAACGGCTGTCCAGCGCTTCGACGTTTGCCATGGTGGTCTAGCTTCAATCAACTGATGATTTCAACTATTGAAATTTCTAAAATCTCCACAAAACCCCTTACTGATAATAATCATCTGTTCACTAGTGACTGACTCCAAGAGGCATTTCCTGGAGTTCTAGTGAGAAGCTGTGACCACTGGAGTTCAATCAGGTCTGTTGTGAGATAGTAACTCACTGAAGAAAATGGTGTACGGTGGCGCAATTTTGTGGATTGGTTGAAGTTAGACATTAACACCGTTGGATGTCGGCTCAGTTGTATAATGGTTAGGCGCTCGCACGCGAGACTGATAGGTCCTGGGTTCGAATCTCGCGGTGGGGGGTTCATGGGTGCGTACTGTTGAGGAGTCCCATACTGGTGGTCTAGCTTCAATTAACTCATGATTTCAACTATTTGAATTTAAAATGTAACCAGAGAATTTGATATTTCCAATAAATAAATAAAACAACTACAATTAGTTAGTATTCAAATAATGAATATAGCAATCTGTTCTTTTTATCCTAGTAAACACAAATATAAGAAAGTTAAAGCAATTAGTCCCTTTAATAAATTTCGATAATGTAATAATAATAATAACGATCTTCATCTTCTTATTACATTATCAAAACAGATATAAGAATTTCCTATTTCTAGTTTATTTATAGCTAGTAGGTATTTTTTTCTTTTGAAAAACAATATTTATTAGGTCCACAGTTTTTATTCTGTCAACTAGTGATACTTATTTTTGGTTAAATCATTGATCTCCATTTATAGCTTTTAAATTATAAATAATAATAAGTTAATGTATTATTATTATCATTATTATTATAATTGGCTTTATTCTATATTATATTTTTGGTACAATATAGAAATCTCAACACAAAGTATTTCAACAAACCCTTTTTTCTTATTTTTTAATTGATCCTTACGATAAATTTTGAGTGATCGTCAGTTAGATGTTAGAAGTTAAGGGGATCGACATCTGAATAGTATTCATTTTTTCTCAATGCATCTTGCCAGCCACTACGATGAATCTGGTTGTACTTTTTTGTAACTTGTACGGTGATAGGTTGTAAACTTTTCATAAACGCACCTGAATAGGTTTTGCGATTAATAGACATAATAATGCTTTAAAACAAATTAAAGAAACAGATAACTTGTTGGAATGTTTAAATGGGAGGAACAGGTAGCTCAGATATTCAAGAAGGCCATCAAGAAAATGTTGTGGTACTATGATCCAATCGCTACAAAGCATTTCGAAACAATTGATTATTTCGTAAGATTGAAATTTCCATCATCTTGTGTTATTACAATTGGACTTTTTAATATGGGCTAGCCTCCTGTTTAACAAATATTATTTCCTCATGATTGTAAATATTTATGTTGAAGACTAATCAACATGAATGGTACATCGATAATTAATAGGATGGTACATCATCAAATCTTAAAAGAACCTTCAAAGTCACTATAATCTGAAACACCTTTTCCTTAATGCCCAATAAAAACATTGAGTAGCTTCACTTAGTCAATAACCATAATCAATACTGTTATACAGTTAATTGATATAATGATGTATCAAAACAAACAAAGACAGATAACGTGTTGGGATGTCTGGAACAGGTAGCCCAGATATATAAGCAGGCATCGTGAGTAAAATAGGATTCATTGATTGATTTCATGTATATATATGGTTTCAATATAACGAATTCAAAGTTTAAAGTTACAGTTTTAATGGTTATTCAAGAAAAAAAACTATCACTTCTATTTTCAGATTTATGTATTCTCATTTATTCAGTCAATTGTTGTACTTGTGATGAAAAGTATTAATTTCACTATATATAAATTATATTAAGACGTATTTTGATCTGGATATGGATGATTAAGAAAAGCTAATATATGGAAACTACTGATGTAGAATTAAAGTAACAATTTTATCGAGATATTTGACAATTCCAGTTTAAGTCTTTTGTTTTTGTGAGAACTACTATATGTGGAATTTATTGTTCTATTGTCAAATAGTCAGTGAATTACTGTAAAATGATTTAACTGTGCTTTGTGATCAAGTTAAAATTTATTGAAAATTGTCCATTTGCTTGTCGGCAGAAAAAAACAACCATCAATAAACCCCAATATTGACGCAGCAGATAAAGTAAGACACTAGTTAATCAGAATGTACATAATTAATTCTTCTTCCAAAGACAATTAATTGTAATTGTGTATAGCGAATTGACGAGTTGTTTTGCCTTCGGCTAAAGGCAAGGGGATATCAGTTAACTAATATATGTCTTTCTGTGGCAATATTTTCTTTTATATTGTCGATTATTACACTCCAAAATACTTGGATCTAGTCGACTTTTATATACGTACTTAATAATTACTGAATATAATATCTCATCTTAATAATTCAATGTTTATTAACTATTATGAAGTATAGTCGTATTTGTGGAAGTAGAAAAAGACAATGAAGCAAATATGCTATGATGTTTAAAGGTAAACAGTGTTCCAAGTACGAGAAAATAAAAATAAGTTTATCAGACTTAAAGAAGAACAAACAAACAAATAGATAACCTAATCAATTTGTTGCTTTTCTTATACATTACATAAAATTTTATCAGATAATACTCTGGATATCACTAAACAACCATATATAAAAGGGTATTGTGGCCAAAATCAGTCATTCATACATATAAATACATGGACATGACATTTTGTTGAATTCAGTAAACACAGTAATGTTTTTTTTTCATTTTCTAATTTTTGAAAAAAAGTAACTGAAAATAAATAAATAAATTCATGAACAAAATTAAAATCATTTAACTTAGAAAATACTATTTTGATTTGGTAAGTTAAGACTGTGAAAACATCAAACTTGGACGTGATGAAGTAATCTGTTTACTGTTTGTTTTTTTATTTCATTCAATTGGTAACTGTATAGATAAGGAAAAAAACTGGTAAAAAGAGAATCAAGCAAAAACAAAGAGGAGAAAAAATGGAGTTTGAATAGATATGTACAATATTTTGATGGTTTCAGTAAGATTATGATAATATAAGATAGATCAGACGCTTTGTTTGCATATATCACTGAGTTAGTGAATTCTGATTTTTTTGTTGTTACAGGATTACATATGTATATATGGAAAGGTTCGTGATTGTAAAATAGACAATGTATAATAGATTTAAAATGAAAAGAATGGTTATGATTAAGTATTGTTTGATCACATTATTACACAACATTTACCACTCGGTCTGGAGCCTAAATCATCTCCATAATTGATTAACTCCCTTCTTGGTAGAGATGCTGTAGCATGTACAACTTGTCCTGAACCACTTTGTTGACCAGAAGTAATTCTACTTCTAGTTGTTTGTTTAACATCATTGCGATTGATATTTGGAGAACGTAGAATAATATTTTGGTTGTCAGGATGATTTTCTTCGTTACGAAGTTGATTGTTTTGAAACGGATTATTAGACGGCAGTGCACAATATGCATTATGTACTGAAATATCAGTTTCTCTATTTTCATTTCTTGATGGCTTTTGCTCTGATAATATTGGTTTTTTCTTCCTTGTGGAGGAACGTCTTTCTCCACGAACCGGTTGATTGTTTAAATCAGTCGTCTGGTTATTGTTATCGCGTCGAGGAAGAGAAGATGCGTATGCATTATCATGGCTACTTACTCGAGCCCTAAGGTGAGCA